TGAGGAGCAGTGTTTGACCCCTGTGCAGAGAGAGAGAAATGGCGTCCCTCATGAATGAGAAGAGAGAGAGGTCTCTGAGGTCCTGGAGAGGCAGGCTGGGCCTGCTGAGAGGGTGAGTCTGGGAAAACGGCAAATGATGGGTGTCCAGGGTAGCCTCCTGGACCAGCCAGCTTACTTCGTCAGGCCCAGGGTGAAGCCTGCTGGGTTGAAACACGGTGTGAGCTAGACATCCTCCTGTGATCACAGGCTTCTGCTTTGCCCAGCAAGATGGCATCCGGGCTCCACTTTGCAGTTTCTGGAGCATTCCTTACTCCCACCAGACAGATAACAAAACATTCAGAGAGTAAAATGACCGGCCTGGGGTTGCAGTCGCGCACAGGTTCTGAATTCTTTTCCAGGGGTCCTTTCTCAGGAACGATCAGAGTCCGTCCTCCCCCCCACTCCCCGCCCCACCTCTCCTGGCCCTGATTTCCCCTCAGACCCTCCCCTCCTCCTCCATGTACCTGTCATCCAGCTGTTGGGCACTTAGACGTGCCAAGCCCTTCCCACCTCAGTGTTTTCACAGGGCTCTTGCCCATCCCTCTGTCCACTGTGTCCCTGAACCCCTGTCCCAGTGAGGCCCACATGGGTCCACAGCATCAATGCCTTTCCTCCAGGATTTTCACAACTCTTATGATCTAATCACTGTGGAAGCCCATTGCCCGGTGCTGCTGAGAATAACTGTCCTGGAATGAACTTCACATGTTCATTTATTGGCATGCTGAGAATTTTCTCTAATTGATAAAAACAAACAAACAAACTGAATTTAAGATGAAAAGTGCTTTATTTTGAAGCAAGAAAGTTACATGCTTGGGAAAGAGGTTGATTTCCGTGTCTGGTTTAGCATCACCCTGACTTTGAAAGTTAACAGTCATGTTGTATGTGAGCCTTTGCTTAGAAGTACCCGCCATCTTCTGGTTAGTGTTAAGAGATGCCTCTTGTCACTCGGTACTCATGGATCCTGGGGCTCTTGGCCCCCCCGCTCCGAGGGGTCTGCCATGGGGGCAGGCGCTCCCGGGAACAGTGACACAAGCCCCCTGGGTGGCCGGAGGGGAGGATGCACTCGTGTCAATCACTGTCACAGGGTCGCCTGAGCCCCATGGAGCAGGGCTGCTCCTCGGCCCGTCAGAGCTGTCAACCGCGGCACCTGCCGCCTCTCATTCAAGCTCAGGATGCGGCCTGGCTGGGACATCTGTCTTCGATCAGGCACACGTGGCAGGAAAGCTGACATCCATCCGTGCACGCACACGTGTACTGCAGGAGCACACTTCCACAGGCCTGCATCTGTCCAGGGACCGCCACCGCCCCCCCCACCCCTGACCACCACCACCTCCCACAACCCTCCCAGGTCGGGAGCTGCGGTTCTGTCCACTGCAGACCCCTCTGTTTGATGCTCAGCTGCCCCATCCCTGGTGACAGGGGTCTGATCTCCCTGCCTTCCTTAGAGGAGAGAGAGGTCAGTGGGGGAAACCCTTTATGGCCAGCGACGGGCTCAGCAGAGCTTGGTGGTGTGTCCTGTGGACAGCTGGGTGGACGCAGGTGGAGCTGAGAGGGGAATGGAGGGCGTGCCAGGACCGTGGCCTGTGTGTGCAGCCTCAGTCTGAGCTCACACAACCTGTGAGCAAGGGGCAGGAACAGGCTTGGAGTCAGAGTGACACCTTATGTGAAATGCCTATCCTGTTGTAGAATCAGAATCGAGCACCATCCTCACTTGTCCCTTCTACCCTCGGGTCACTTCGGCCGTCTGCGTTTACTGGCAGTTTGTCTGCTGACATTCTCCCTGCTTTTGTCTGCCCTGTCTGGGGCCTGATCATGTCTCCCTAGACCAGGAGCAGAGCTTCCACGGGGTACCCGACCGTGCCTGAGTCATACCTGCCACAGCCTCTCCCAGATTGAGGGCCTTTCTGCCTGTCAGTCTTCTGCCCTTAGCCCCCGAGATCTCTGCTCACCCCTACGCCACCTCCTCTCAGAAGCCCTCGGGCCAAGTGGACTCCTTCCTCTGGGCTCCGGCCGTCCCGTTGCCCCATGTGGTGATGACAGGTATGTGTCTGTGACTCTGCTCAGCTCTGAGCTTCCAAGGACAGTGCCAGGTCTCCCTTGTCTCTGCGCTCTCATCACCCAGCACAGGGTCTTGCCCTTGGGAGGCACTTACTGAGCACTGGGCCATGGAACGCACTCGGAGTGAAAGGATGAGCTCCCTGCAGAAGGGCAAGGGGCTGCTGGAGAGACCAGCTGGGGTGCCTGAGAGGAGTAGCCATGGAACAGAGGGTCTCTGTCTGCTGGCATCCCCTCTCTCTTCCCTCCCATTCCCCCCTGCCCTGGGGGAGGAGGTAGAAATTAGTCTGAATCAGAGATGTACTGTCAGCTTGTCCATCCACCTATCTGTTTGTCTGTCTCTCCATCCTTCCGCCACCCCTCCATTCATCCATCCCTTCATCTAATATTTATTGAGCATCTCCTGTGTACCAGGCACACTACTGAGCACCTAGAGACTGAATCTGGGGCCAGCCAGGACAGGACAGGACCCCAGGGCTTTCCGCCATCAGAGCTCCACATCTCTTCTTGTTCTTTGTCTCCTCCGGGGTCGGCTGGCCGGGGTGGAACGGGGTGGGGCTCAGATGGTGCCTGAAAGAGCAGCCCTGTGCGCCGTTAGAGTCGCCTTATTTCAATTCAAGACAACAGAAGATTAAAAAATGTCTCCAGGGAGAAAAACAGGAACATTCATCCAATTTGAGAGGAAAACTTACACAGTGGGAAAGCCAGGCCTCGTTTGTGCTCGCCGAACCAGAAGTGGGTGCAGGAAGGGAAGTCATCGCCATCTCTGCGCAGCTTCTCCTGCGATAATCAATCATGTCTGTTTACTGTCTTCCTTTGTTCTTCGGGCCCTCCTGCCTCTCTCTGCTTCCTCTGGTTTCTGGTCAGTGGGAAGCTCCCAGCCCTTCTCCCGGGGGCCCGTCTGCTGGGGAGGCTGCGAACGTGAGGTCTCAGAGCTGGTGGTTCGGAGTGAGATGGACCTGCGGATGGTGGCTGTAGAGTGGCCAGGCCCGACCCTGCTTCCTTGGGGGCTGCATCCCAGCTGGGGGGATGCTAGGGGATCTCCACGCTTCACTGCTGCAGCCCCTGCTGAATCCAGAAGTAGGGCCAAGAGAAGGGCGGCTGAGATGGGTAATTGAAGGTCAGCCATGGGGCAAAGCCTGGTCCAGTGGCTCCCGAATACAGCTGGTCACTAGAGGCCACAGGGACACAAGCAGTGCCCAGGGCCTGCCGCTGGGGTTTCTGGCTCAGTGGGTCTCAGCTGGCTGTGACCGCCTCCGGCTGGCCTGCACCAAAGGCCAGGGCCTCCCTGCTGCCCACTTCTCAGGGGTCATTAGTGCTGCCCTGGCTCCGCCTGGTCTGTGAAACAGAAGGGGAAAGCATCCCAGGACGCGTAGGATACCCTGACTCCTTAAGGTGTGTGAGGAAGTGGAGGTGAGGTTTCTGGAGGAGCCCAGGCCCCTTTCACCTCACCGAGCATCACGGGCAGGGCCGGGGGCTGGCCTCGCGGCAGAGGCATGGCCCTGGTGGCCTGGGGCTGGAGCCTGTCTGCCTTGTGCCCGGGATGAAGAAAGAGCAGGGACTGAGTGTGGCTGGTGAGTCTCTGGTCCTACCTGCTGTGTGGCTCTGAGCAGACACCCAGCTTCTCTGAACCACTGTTTCTTCATCTTCCCACAGAGGCCTTCCCAATGGGTCTCAGCCCTGAGCGTGGAGGTGTGTGGGTCCTGCGGTTTCAAGCAGGTACACTCCACCACCTTTTCCAGCTTCTCCCCATCTCTGTCAAGACCCCAAAACTCTCCCAGACATCTAAATCCAGACCATGGGAACGGCCGCCTCTGGATGCCCTGCCTTCCAGCACTCAGGGCTGCGCCGCTGCTATTTTTATCTGCTGCTGGTTAATCTGTGCCCTTGTTGACGGTGGTATCAGCACAGTTTAAATGCATAGTTATCTCCAGCTTGAGCTCAGATGGTGACCTCGGTCCAGTGGAACTGCCCTGCGGGCAGATTGGCCCACGGAAATCCCACTTCCAGTTAAAAGCCTATTTCTGCTGTTTGTAGGAACCTTAAAATGGCTAATTTAGGCATCACCAACAGGGACTGGATCACCTTGTTAAAATAAAACCAAGTTTGTTTATTTACTGGCCGAGTAACTTCCAGTGACGTGTGTAGGTCTGCAGCCTTTGGGTCCCTGAAGGTTGACATGCCCACCCGATCAGGAAGTAAAGCCCTCCGAAGGCCCAGAAACGTCCCCGAGCCCCCTCCTGGTTCCTGCAGCAGTGTCCAGCCCAGAGCAGGACCTTGGCCAGCTAATGAATGAGACATAAAGGGACCCGAGGGGTGCAGAGCCGATTGGGGTTCTGAGTAGCCAGTGGGTTTCCTGAAGGAGCGGGGGCGGTGTTGCTCAGTGGGACTGAAATGTTTTCTCGATTGATGGAGTTTCCACCAAAGAGGTGGATTTGTACGGGGGAAACGGAGCACTGACCTAGGCCGCCTTCTGTTTCCCCTGGACCCAGGCCCTAAGGTTGGTAGCCTCGTGTGTACTCAGCCCCATGTCGGGGCGTCTGTGCAGTGACTCTGAGCCTGGCCCCAGGGAGTGCCGAGGTTGGGCGCCCCGCACGGAGGCCGTGTCCTATGACCTGTGACCCGTCCTGCTGGCCCTCCCGGGCTGGGAGTTGTCTGCAGTGGTTGTACAGTCCAGACCCCCACCTGATCTCTGCATGCATCTCCACAGCGGCCGTTCCCTGGGCACAGGGCTCTGCTGCTTCCACGGCAGCGTCTCACCCTCGCATCGTCATGTTCTTGGCAAGGTCCTTCTTGACACAAACACCAGCCTGCCCCGCGCCTATGTGGGTCTGATCAGGGTGCCCCTGGGCCAGCAGGGCTCTCGTGAGAGGTCCCAACCTCGAGTTCTGTCTGTGATTCTCCAGCTCCAAGAAGCCCAAGAAACGTCCCGCAGTGGCCGTGAAGCCCAAAGCCGCGCCCCGGCTCACCATCTTTGATGAGGAGGTCGACCCTGACGAGGGGCTCTTCGGCTCGGGCGGGAAGCCCTCTCCCCGGGGCCACGCAGAGGACTCACCCCCCGGGGACCGTAAGTAGAGCCCAGGGTGTCCCTTAGCTCTCAGGGTCTCCCGGGTGACCCACCAACCTCTGCGAAGGGCGTCAGGCCCACCACACAAGACCAGGATGCCAGTCTTGACACGATATGGACTCGCCTGGTGGGGATTTTCTGCTGGAGAAATCTAGTCTTGCACCTTTTGTACCCCCACGCCAGAACATTCCGGGGCTGTATGTTTATGCTGGTCATCCCTTGGAAGCAAAGGGTAGTTTTCTTTGTTGCTTTGAAAAGTGCAGGTTGTGACTGGTGTAGAAGTATCTTTGTTACCTCCACAGCCAGATGTGGGCACCAGATAGAGAGGGGGTTCTGGGGCTCTGCGTGGCTTGGATTATAACAGGAGACTCGACTCCGTGTCCCCTGCAGAGACCCCACGAGAGGGTCCAGTGTGGGAGTTGGAGCTGGGAAGCCGTGGCACTTATGCACTCACCCCTGGGTCTGACCTCTCCCCACAACTCCCAGGTCTGTTTCCAGGGCAGGGGATTGCTGTCACCCATTAATTCAGTGGGCACCGGGCACCTGCTGAGGGCCAGGCTCTGTGCGGGGGCCCGAGAACGCCTGGAAGAGGGAGACGCAGTCCTGGCCTCGGGGTCTCTCACGGGATAGACAGGACATCTCCTGACCATCATAGGGTGGCCTGGGTCTGTAACAGGTCCGAGCAGAATGCCAGTGCCTGTGGGGACCCCCAGGCTGAGGGGCTTCTTGAGTAAGGAATGAATAGAGGAACTGGATCCCAAGGGGTCAGCGGAGTTTTCCATGGCTGCTGACAAAGCTGATTCCAGGCAAAGAGGCTGCAGTCGCCTGTCACAAAGGGCAGCGTTGAGCATTGAGACTGGGAGGGGGTGGGGAGCAGACCTCGACTTCCAGAACTGGTGGTTGGCACTTAGTGAGTGCTTGTAGGAAGACGGGGCCAAGCCCTGGGGGCTGAGCTAAGAGATGCAGGGGTGCTTGGGGAGCCTGGGGCAGTGAGCTGAGGTGTCAAGTTCTTCCTCAAAGCAGTGGGGAGGCCATGAGGACTTGAAACCAGGGAGGTGCCTCCACGTGGCTTTTGGCCCAGCATGCAGGGAGGTGGGGTCGGGGCTAGGCACACAGGTGTGCCAGGCCCCGCAAGTGCCTGGTTCTTCTACACTCTGCCTTGCAGACCGAAGGGACAGCCTTACTCCCTTTCTCTTGGCTGGGCCAGGAGGTTGGGCCAGACAGTCTCCACCCTGCACCCCCCAGGCAGCTGAAGACTGGCTAGCACGTCCTCTGACCACTCTGCTGCTCCCTTCTCTGCAGCCCTGAAGCTGTTTGACGATCCTGACCTCGGTGGAGCTGTCCCCCTGGGTGACCCCTTACTGCTGCCAGCTGCCTCCCAGAGTGGAGGAGCCACACCCCGTGAAGGCCACAGGGAGGCCTCCGAGGAGCTGTTCAGGTACCACTTGTCTCCAGTGACGCTTCCGAGGTCGGGGTGTGTACCAGAGAACCAGGAACTCTTCCCCGGGTGGTAGCACTTCAGCATCCTTGGGTTCCAAGGGAGGGAGTCCTGACCCATCAAAGGTGGGAGCCCAGGACTCCCTGGTGGCCCAGTGGCTAAGACTCCAAGCTCCCAATGCAAGGGATCCAGGTTTGTTCCCTGGTTAGGGAACTAGGTCTCACATGCTGCAACTAAGACCTGATGCAGCTAAATAAATAAATAATTTTTTTTAAAAAGGTGGGAGCCTGTGGGTGAGAGCTGATTGATCGGGAGGCAGTGAAGGGGATTCAGTGGAAAGGCTGGAGGGAGGCGTCAGGGGAGTGTTAGCCGCTCAGCAAGTTCTAGAAAGAACTTCATTTATGCAAGCAGTTTATATAAAAAATAATTAAGTTATGTAATTCCAAGAGTAAGTATAACTGGCATAAATAGGTTTGAAAACAAATAAAAGTGACTCATGGTACCATACCACTCACCCGGAGGGAGCAAAGTCCTGATGTTCTGGACAGCACCTGGGGCCCATCGGCAGATTTTACAGCGGGGAAAGTGTTAGTCGCTCAGTTGTGTCCAGCTCTTTGCGACCCCATGGACTGTAGCCTGCCAGGCTTCTCTATCCATGGGATTCTCCAGGCAGGAATACTGGAGTGGGTTGCCATTTCCTTCTCCAGGGGATCTTACAGAAGGGAGAACGAGACTTAATCTGTTACATGGAGGTTGATTGACAGAATGTGCAAGACTGATCGCCACAGGATGCATGCTGTGCCTCTGACAGTTTGCCAGGCTCTTTACGTGTTATCCTATTTAATCCTCATAAGAGCATCCTCTTCCCACCCCCATCCCCCACCCCCCATGTAGGTGCTGTTATCTCCTTTTTTACACAAAATGGAGGGTGGAAGAGGTAACTGACCCAAGGCCATAGGTCCCAAGCGACAGGAAGGGGACCCGGGTCAGCCTGCCTGTGTCTGGTCCTCCCACCTTGTTGGGACCCTGAGCACTCAGAAGAGGAGAGGCTGGCAGACCGCCTCCCACCTCGGGCCCTACAGGCTCTCCCTGGGCTCGTAGAGCTGCCTTCTCAGCACCCTTGGCACTGTGCGTCTCTGCCTCCCATCGTCACGTCATCCACGTGCCCAGGATGCAGACTGAGCCTGGCGATTACGGGACGCCGAGCTATCTCTTTCCAGGAACGGTTACGTGGCGCCGGCCTGAGGTCCCGGGAGACTGTCATCCACACCCTCGTTAGCAGCCATGGGCTGTTAGCCCCATGAGTGCCCGCCGGGCCTGAGTCACTGCGACGGCTCCTTGTCATTACACGTCCCCGAGGTCCCTGGCAGCTGTTCATTCTCATCCTTGCGTCCTCACCGCTGACGCCGCAGCGGTCCTCCCTGGACGAAGCTGGGATTGTTGTTCTGCATTTCGGGTGACTCAGAGGCCCGGGGAAGGTCAGCCCCAGGAGCCTCTGCTGTCCTGAGGACGCAGCCTGCGCTAGAGGGGTGGAGCCAGTGGGACCTTTGGGCCCTGTTTGTATCAATATTAAATCCATTACACATACATCCCAGTGTGACCTCAGCACACAGACACACACACAGACACATACCCCAGTGCAACTTCAGGACACAGACACACATACATAGACACACATACATCCCCGTATGACCTCAGCGTGCACACACACACGCACTCACATACCACTGTGCGACCTCAGCATACAGGCACACACATACACATATACATGCCAATGTAACCTCAGCACAAACACACAGACATACATACCCCAGTGCAACCTCAGCACACAGACACACACACATAGACACATCCCAGTGTGACCTCAGCGTGCACACACACACACACATATGCACACACACATCACAGTGCGACCTCAGCATACAGACACACACAGACACATATACATGCCAGTGTAACAGCACAAACACACAGACACACATACCACAGTGCAACCTCAGCACACAGACGCATGCACACATCCCAGTGTGACCTCAACGTGCATGCACACACACTCACACATACCCCAGTGTGAGCTCGGCCTGCACAAACACACACACGCACAGACATACCACAATACGATCTCAGCACACAGACACACACACACTTTTAGACCCGCATTCTGCAGAACGCTGGGTTGGGGGTGTTGAAAGGTATAACCTGCAAAGGCTTTCTGTGGCCAGAGGGCTGGGGCAACACCAGGGTTAACCAGGACCTTCTGCACCTGTACTGTGTGGGTACACGTGGCTCGAGGGGAGGACCATGTGGCATTTCACGTTCCAGTTGGTCCCTGGGACCCTCTCATGGGTAACGCCTCCTACATCCCCCAGGCCACTCTGGGAGTCACTGCTTTAGAGAATGTGAGTCCCGTGGCCCTGCCTTCACTCCGTCAGACATCTGGTGAAGAAAGAACTACCCTCTTGAGAGCAGGAACCATATTTTGTTTTTCTTTGTGTGCGTCCTGGGACTCTCCAGGTGGTGATCAGGTGTCTTTATGATGAACTTTCTCAGATTCTTTCATCCTCCAGTGCTTTCCTTACCCATTTATTCCACAGCTGGCATAAGCCCTCCCGAGGAGCACTGGCAGGCGGCGGGCGGTGGGGGGGGTGCATTTGAACAGGGTTTGGAGCCGAGACGCCCCCATTCCTTCTTGCCATGGGTCCCCAGCTTTGGTCTTCAGTCAAGCTCTGTCCTCTGCAGGGACCTGGGGAGGAGGAGCGGGCCAGCCCTTCAGTGGTTGACCTCACGCCTTCAGGGCCTGGAAGAGAGGGGAGCTGAATCTTGCATCAGTGGGAGCTGTTTCTAGCCATGACTCAGGGAACCCAGGCTCCCCTGGTGGCTCCGTGGTAAAGAAACTGCCTGCAGCGAGGGAAACCTGGGTTCGATCCTTGGGTCGGGAAGATCCCCTGGAGAAGGAAATGGCAACCCACTCCAGTATTTTTGCCTGGAAAATCCCATGGACAGAGGAGCCTGGTGGGTTACAGTCCATGGGGTCTCAAAGAGTTGGACACGACTGAGTGATGAACACTTTCACTTCCAGGGAGCCCAGTTGGAAATGGGGTGCTGGGTGAGGGGTGCTGGGCAGCCACCTAGATCCTCAGGGCAGCTGCCCCACCTCCTAACTCAGTGAATCCAGCTCTAGATTAGTTAGCTCTAGAGCATCACTGCTATGCCCAGCAGTGTAAATCCTGAAATCTGATGCAAGCTTTTAGCTGCTATATTCTGTTTCCCTGTTTGAAGGTAGTTCAGCCCCTCAGAGCTTTTCCTGGGCACCTAGCCTCCAGTGGAGGATGTGGGATGAGCCAACACCTGTCCAGGGGAGCTTGAGGAAGGACAGCCCCGTGAAGGGAGCCTGGACAGCTGAGCTGAGCTCACCAGGAGCCTCCTATTTCCCAGTAATGCCTTCAGGGATTGCCTGGAAGTCACTCCTTCAAGGCCTGGCTTGGGCCGGTCACTCTGGGTCTGAGGGACCCCTTTTTACTCACTTCTCTGCCCTGCATAGGAAGCTCTGCACTCTCCTGGTGGGTCTGTGACCCATCACAGGAGGTTGACCCAGGAAGCGGGCAGGTGACAGCTGCTTTAGTAGCTGGTACCTGGCAGGCAGCCCCTCCCAGGAAGGGCACCTCCGCCCTTGTGCAGGCCTCTGCCAGGTCCTGTGTTGCCAGGAGTTGTTTTGACCAGAGGACCCGCCCCTCTGCTCCTGCCTTTACTCAGCCCAGCTGGTGTCTGAGCTGGATCCGGTTCACTGATGGGGTGATGAAGGGCCAGGCTGGGGGGAGTGGCAGGATGAGGAAGGGAACTGCACTCTGCCTGCTGGACTGTGTGTCTTGCACCTGGAATTCCAGCCCCGTGGGGGTGATGCCGCTTGTTCCCATTTGGCGGATGAGGAACCAAAGCCTGGACAGGCCATGTGGCCTGTGTGAGGCCCCCTGGTCTTCTGCCTCCTGTGGCTGTGGCCTCCCCACCCTGACCCCAGCTGGTTGTGGGCGCCTGGCCGGGCCCTTCATCTTTCTGTGCCCCTAGTTTTCACATCTGCAAAGTGGAGCTAATATCTGCTACCAGACAGTGTCTTGTGATTGTTGTTCAATTGCTGAGTCGTATTTGATTCTTTGCCGCCCTTGGACTGCAGCATGGCCGGCTCCCGCTCCTTCACCGTCTCCCAGAGTTTGCTCAGATTCCTGTCCATTGAGTCATCTAACCACTGATGCTATCGATGCTATCTAACCATCTCATCCTCTGCTGCTCTCTTCTCCTTTTGCCTTCAATCTTCCCAGCATCAGGGTCTTTGATTACTAGATGAATTAATGGATGGGAGATGGCTGTGATGTGTGGGTACTCAGCACCACGTTGATTGGGTGGGGGGTGGGTGGAACAGGTCTCCAGGTGTTGAGTCCCTGCACGAGGCGCTCCCTTGGACAGAGTGCAGAGCAGGGTGCCTTTCTTTCCTGCCATTCAGGACTTGGGCTGGTCCCGTGTGACCGTCACCCTGCCTCAGCCTTCAGTCCCACCCACCAATGGGCTGTCCAGTCCAGGGCGTGGCCAGCTCCAGCCCTCTGGGGAGCCCTGTCCAGTGCAGAGGTGGCCCACCGGGTGACACTGTGTGCAGGCAGACCCCACCCCATCACTGCTCAGAGCCTCTCATTCATTCTTTCTCTGGCCGAACAGGGGTCTGGATGAGAGCTCAGCCCCTGACGTCAGCCCTACTGGTTCCAACTCGGGACCCGTCACACGCTGTCACCTCAGGCAGGTGGCTCAGCCTCCTGGGACTTGAGCATCCGCCTATGCGGGGCAAAGATGGGGCTGAACGTCCCCAGGGGTCATCAGGGAATGAAACAAGCTCCTTGGCCCAGAGCAGGAGCTCCATATGTGGCAGCTGTTAACTTCTTGAGGGGCTGAAGGAAAAGTCACCTGAGGAAGCCAGCTTGTCTAGGGTGGGGTTCCCCGAGAAGCCATCCTACAGAGGATGCTGAGAGGCCAGCTCTCCTCACCCTGGGCTGTGGGGCTGCACTGAAGGAGAGGGCTGCCCTTCTGTTCCTCCCCAGGGGCAGGGCAGGCGGGAGGGCCAGGCTGGGGGGTGGTGTGTGGCAGGAGGCAGGGGGTACCGTGCCCTGCAAGGACTGCCTGCCTTGGCTGGGGAACCTTGTCCCTCTTGCAGCAGGCTCTGCCCAAGGACTTCTCCCTCTGCTTCTCTAGAGTCGAAGAGGACTTGGACCAGATTCTGAACCTGGGGGCTGAGCCCAAGCCCCGGCCCAAGCCCCGGCCCAAGCCCAAGCCTCCAGTGGCCGCCAAGCCAGCGCTGCCCAGAAAGCCGGCTGTGCCCCCCAGAGCGGGTCCACCTGAGGCTGCGGCCACGCAGCAGCGGAAGCAGCAGCAGCAGATCCAAGCCATGGATGAGATGGACATCTTGCAGTATATCCGGGACCACGACGCGCCTGGCCAGGCTGCCCCCAGCCTCTTCTGACCACCCCCCAGCCCCCAGACTGTACCCAGGCCAGCAGACCCTCTCCTGTGGAGGGGCGCCTGGTGAGGGGCGGGCTTTGCCCTGCAGGGCCGGAACCGATCTATTCCCAAGGGAGGGAGGGTGGAAGCCCGGGTCAGAGGACCCCGGTACTGCCTTCTTCCTTGTTCTCAGGGCTTGCGGGGCCATGGAACCCTGTACAATGCAGAGAGCAGGGTCACCAGAGGAACACTGGAGCTTCAGTTGTCTCAGCTGCGTGCATGGGAGGGGGCAACACGTGGGGAGGCTTGTTCACCAGGCGCCCAAGCCCCCAGGATGTCATGGGACTGTGGTGGAGGGGCAGGGAGGCTCTGCTTAGGGCAGGGAAACTTTTCTGCCCACTCGTGCCCCCTGAGTCTGGCAGCCCCAGCACAGGAAGGGAGGCCTGGCCAACTTGGGGTTGGGGTGGGAGTCTGCACGCCAAGGCACTCTGCAGTCTCCGGCCTGTAGGCACTTGGGAGGGCCCCCAGGAGAAGGATACTGAGTGGGGCCTGGAAGGGCCTGGCTGGGATGGCTGGCCCTGATCCATCTCTGCATACCAATGGGCTGAGCAGGGTGCCAAAGCTCAAGCCCGGCCCTGCCCCCGGGGTGTGGACGGCCTGACAAAGCTCTCCGTCTCCTCCCCCTTCCTTTCCTAGGGAAGGCCTGGCCAGACCACAGCCTTCTTGGGCCTCCGGCCATAGGACCAGTGTCCGCCATCGCAGCTTCGAGCTGAGTGGGCCCCATGTCCTCCAGGTCCACCTGCGGTCCATTTGCCCCTCCCTTTCACGGCAGGCCTGGGCTGGATGCTCTCGGGCTGCTCGTGAAGGCTCTCTCTGTCCAGTGGTGGATTTGTCTGTCAGGCCTCCCCCCCTGCCCATCCTTGGGGTCTGGACTTACTCACCAGCCTTCCGCCCATGGGAGCCCCCTCCCCAGAAGCAGGTTCTGCTGGGCCCGGCAGAACCAGTCAGTGCCTTAGACTTCTCCCCGAGCCCCACACCCCAGCATAGGGGTCAGGGTGTGCTGCGGCGCTCAGGAAATTCTCCATGAGTGGTGTTTAATGGAGGAAAGAATGCCTTTTTTGATACATTCTTCACATTCAAAATTAGTTTTTAATGAAACACAGGTTTTAAAGGAAATGCAACCATTGTCATCCCTGGGGTTGTGCTGCTTGACAAGAGGATTAGAAGATGGGGTTTGGGGCTAGGACCCCAGGCCCTTCCTGATCTGGACCAACTCTGAGGGAGTCCCCCCACCGACCAGGGCTGGTGTCAGAGTCTCTGTAGCACCCACCACCCTGTGCCAGCACCCAAAGACAGGTGGGAGCACTCAGCCTGTCCTGCGGCTCCTGCACCTTAGTGAAAAGTCCGTCGGCTCCCACCACCTGGGCCAGAGTGAGAAGAAACAGGTGGCTCTGGGGGCCCCCTCTCCCCGCTTTACCTTGCCCGAGGGTGCTCTCCCTGGGGACCCCCAGCACGTGCCACCCCTCTTTCCTCTCACTGCCAGGCCTTCACACCCCATCCCTCAAGCACAGGTGGACGCCCCCACCCTGCCCTGGGGTCTGCACCTGTCTGACTGCAGGAGGGCCCCCGAAGGAAGCCACAGTGGTGGGTGAGGGGCCACCTCGGGCTCTTTCCCCTCCCTCCCTGGCCCCCTCCCCTCCACCACGCCCTCCGCCCCCCTACACATGTGACATAGGAACAGGGTGTTGCTGGCAGCAGCCCGGTGCGGGGAGTGCTGGTCCTCCGGTGGGGGTCACAGGCAGAACTCACCACTCTGGGGAGGCTTCATCCACTGTGAACCTGGCCTTCTCCCAGGTGGCTGGCCCCTGGGACAACCCCCCCGCCCCCAGCAGAGATGCGTGCCTCCGGATACGGATGCGCTGTGACCCACCAGCCAACCCAAGACCCGGTCATCCAATAAAAAGTCTGTGTCGGGGCTCATCCCGTGTTTGTTGGTGGCAATCTTTTCTGTGCCCGGGCTGACGGAGAGCCACGTGGGGGCTGTCGTTACAACAGTGGGCTCAATGAGGGGAGCTTCCCCAGAAGGACCTGGGCATTGTTGAGGCTTCCAGGCTGCTGCTGGATAGGGAGGGGGCAGGCAGAGCGAGGATTCCCCTGTATAAACGTAGGCAGAGGGGCCAGAGCCCCAGGCTGGGTGGGGTCATCAGTCAGTAACTGCTCAGCCTGCACTGGCTTGGAAAGAGGACTTTTCCCTTTCCAGACCTCACACCCCTCTCCTCAGTGTGGGGACTGGTCTGGGCTTGACCATGCCTTTCTGAGGTGCTTTTCGGCTCTTGACACCAGACAGCCCTGCCGAATACACGCATCTCTCCGTATCCAGACCTGCCTTCGACTCTGCTTTCCTCCCGGAGTCAGATTCCGAGATGCCATTTCCTGCCGGGGCTCCAGAAGTTCTGAGCAGACGGCTCCACAAGCCGACACCTCTGGAGACCTAGAAACAAGTCCTCGGGAGCCAGGCAGCTCCACGCAGGGCAGCCCACGAGCCCACCCGGCCTCCCCCCGCCACTTGGCTTTGGATCTTGCAGCTAAGCTCCGAGCGGGGGTGTCGTGGTTCCGAGGGACCAGCAGAGGGGCTGTTCTGAGAAGGACTGCAGAGCCCACGAGGCTGCGGCGGGGAGCTCACCGTAGAAGGAAGGGGAGCACCGTGGAGGCAGCGTTTGTTTGTTTCGAAGCCGTGTGAGCCCTGTGGACAGGATGTACTGGCTGCTGCAGGGGGCCCCCACTCCTGTCCCCCATTGTTCCTCTCAGGAAGCCGGGAACTCCAGCCTGTTCTGGAAAGTCCCCATTGTAATGCCTGACGCCACCGGGCCAGGAGTCAAGCTCCGCCGGGGCACGGCAGACTCCTGTAACACTCTGGAGCCCGCCTCCGTGTGCCCTGGGGCGGCCCCAAGGCTTGAGCTCTTCCCAGACTCAGAGGAGCCCCAGAAGTCCAGTTGCCTCTCAGGGCTCCGGGGCCCTCATGCCCAACAGCCAGCTTGGTATTGTCAATAGACTCCGTGTGGCGGCTTCAACCTTCAGGGTTAGACTTTGTCTCCAGGGAGACCTCGTGTGAAAGTCACGCTCGGCTCTCCAGTTCACCAGCCGCCCAGCGGAGCATCACCTGCGGACAAGAGAAGGGAAGCAGGACTGCCTTCTCCTGGCCAGTGGCCCTGGCTGGACAACAGGCACCTCCCAGGGCCGCTGCGTCTGTGTGGGCTGACGGCCGCCCAGAGCAGGCGTGGTCAACACTCAGAGCCCCTTGAGTGATCGACCTCTTGGTGTTAAGTTATGGACGGTGCTGTTTAGTGCAAGCTCTGATCACTCCAAACCCTTCCCTGACGTCTCACAGTTGGGGGCAGCTGACCAAAGGGCCAGGCTTCGTGGGCCTGGAAGGATTTATGTTCAACTCAGCTATATGATGTCCCCTCACCACACAGTGCTGAGTGAAGAGACTTTCTTGGGCCAGGTAGACTGTAACATCCTGTTTATGTCACTCCAGTTCATCCTGGAGGGCCCCCTGCCCAGGAAAAGATGGGTGTAGTGGACGTGACAGGCTGAGGTTGGGTGGTCAGAGGCACTGATATGCCTCAGCTCAGCCTTGCCTCCTGCCGCGGGTCCCGACATGGCCATCCAGGCATCTTGCTATGTATGCTGTGGTGAAGGGGACCCAGGGGTACAAGCTGGTGCGTACACCATGGAGCACAGTGCTCATACATCTCCCGGCTGGCCTCTGGTTCTGGTTTAACACAGCTTTGGCCACCAGTGAGCTGAGGGGGTTCATTTCTCAGGTCGCAATCAGAGCTGAGCCACATTTCTGGAGCGGGGATTATGGGCTCAGCACATAGCCTCAGTAAGCAAGAATTTCTGGTGACAACTTTCAGAGGTGCCGATGCTTCTTTGCTAATTCAGCAAATATTTGTAGCAGCAGCCTCCAAATTCCTTTTTAAGGAAAGCTGGGTTAGCTTTCTCCAGCACAGCTAGCCAGTCACATCTGTTTCTTCACATGCCAAGTTTCATCCAAAAACTAAGCATTTAATGGCACCTATTGTGTGCAGGCACCTGTGGCACCCGGGGAATCAGGTGGGTTGAAGGACAGGGGAGATGCAGGTCAGCCCTTCCAGTCTAGAAGCTCCCCATCATGTTGGGCACCAGTCCGTTTGGTGAATAAGCAAATGCAGGGAGCGAGAAAAGTGCAGGAAACAATGCAGCACGAAGCAGAAGGAGGCGAAGACAGTACAGACCTTGGTGCTCCAGGGAGGCAGGGCAAGCGAGATCAGGGTGGCCCAGCCAGTGAACGTTTCCTGTAGTACCTGTTCCAGGCACGATGGAGGATGCACAAATGAGAAAACATGAGCCATCAAAGCCAAATCCATGAGCCACATTGAGCCGTAGGTTCTGTTCTGTTCTCTGGGCCACCTGCCCAAACAGCAGACACAGCTGCAACTCGCTTCCTCCTGTGCAGCCCTCTTTGCCTGCCCCTCACCCCCTGCTGCTCCAGCACATACAGTTTTGCATGCCACATGACCCCAGTCCTTGATCATTGTGTTCATTTCCTATGGTGGCCATGGCAAGTACCACAAACTGGGTGGCTGTAAACAGCAGGAATTTATTCCCTCTCAGTTCTGGAGGCCAGAAGTCTAAAATCAAGAGGTTGGCAGGGCTGTGCTCTCGAGGGAGAATCCTTCCTTGCTTCTTCCAGCTTCTGGAGGTTGCTGGCAATCGTTAGAGTTCCTTGGCTTATAGCTACATCATTGCAATCTCTGTCTTCACATGGCCTCCTCCCTGTGTGTCTCTGTCTTCACACCGTTGTCTCCTCTGCATCCTTTCTGTATCTGTGTCCAAATTTTCCCTGTTCTTCTAAGTAAGCCAGTCACTGGATCAGGACCACCGAATTCAGCATTACCTCATTTTCCCTTAGTTACCTCTGCAAAGACCCCATTTCCAAATAAGTTCGCATTCACAAGGTTCCACCCAGTTCAGTCTTCTACCCAGTTCAGTCCCGAAGGGTCTGGTACCTTTCAGGAATCTGAGTTACTTGAGTGCAGAAGTGAGGACTTTCTTATCTCCTGTATCAGCTTCCAGGCTTATTGGGTACTATCCGTTACCATGTGGGCTTGGGGCCTTTTTATCACACCAAATTTGGGGAAATCTCCCCACCACTAACAACAGTCCCAGGTCTGTGTACACCGCTTGTGTTCCGGGGTGGGAGCAGGCTGCACTGAGGATGTGACTTGTGGAGCCCAGGGCCTGACTCCCTGGGCCATCATGCTCCTTCTCCAGGGCAATGGCAGGCCCCCAGTGGGCCTGATGACCTCTTCTCTGAGTGGATGCCTTTCAGGAGTGAGCTGAGACAGGCAGCGTCCCACCTTGTCCTGTCCAGGCCATGGCCTCTGTGATGGCCCTGTGGGTGTTGCATTTCAGCAGTGCCAGCATCACTCCCACCTCCCACTCTGTCTGGGGAGGGGATGGGCGGGTCAGGGAGGGAGCCGGAAGAGAGGAACCTCTGCTGCACACGTTCCTGGTGCCAGGGTTAGATTTCTGTCATTTGTGGCTGCCTCCAGAAATGTCGAAACTTCTTCAAATCTTAGTAAGAATGACTCTTTGGAGCACCACGTGAGACAAGATGGTGACAGAGTAGCGCTCAGAGCCATCGTCCTGGCTCAGCGAGGGCCGGGACTGCCTCCCCGGAGGGTCGCCCAGCTCTGAGCACCTTTCCTGGGGACCTGCTTGCCTCCTACTTGGAGCCCTGGCTCCAGAGCCTCCTGATGGCTTTCCTGGGTGTCTGCCCTCCCCCTAGCACCCACCACCCTCCCTCTGGGCCCCTGAGGATGATGGAAGAGTCTCGACAAAGCAGGTTGTGGGGCTGGCTTCCAGAGCCTGACAGCTGCTGCTGGCCAACTTGCGGACGCCCAAGGGGTCTGCCTCAGCCTCGATTTCTCAAGCGGGTTTTCTTCCCTTGACGAGGTTGCTCTTGGCTTCTCCATGTGTATGCTTCTGTTTTTCCTTTCAGTCTAATAGCCACTTGGCTCATTTCTCCCTAAGAAGGGCTCTCAGTCCCAGAGGACAATTTTTTTTTAAGTGTAACAGCTAGTTTATTTTTAAAAACTTCATTTTGTATTGCGGTTAACAAACAATGTTCTGACAGTTTCAGGTAAAGAGTGAAGGGACTCAGCCATACATATACATGCACCCATTCTCCCCCAAACTCCCTTCCCATCCAGGCTGCCACATAACATTGAGCAGAGTTCCCTGTGCTATACAGTAGGTCCTTGTTGGTTATCCATTTTATTTTTTTGTTTTGTTTTGTTTTTTGGTTATCCATTTTAAATACAGCAGTGTGTACATGTCCATCCCAGACTCCCTAACTATCCCTCCCTGCAACATCCCCCCCCCCCACCCCCACCAGCAACCATAAGCTCAGAACAGCTAACTTCTTGTCCACCTGTCTCTCAGACCACCAGGAGCAGCGGAGTCTCAGCTCGACCTCTGGCCTGAGGGCCTCCTTCTCCTGCCTGAGGCTCTAATGAGGCTTGGCCAGGTTGCAAGAGTGACCCTAGGGTGGGCATAGGATTGGAACCCTGGCCTCATAGACTATATAAAATCTACAGACATGGGGATGGAAAATGTTGCACCACCTTGGCAGGGATGGGGGAGGAGTTTGGCAGGTTTTTAAAAAGCTGAGCATAGATTTACAACATAGCCCATCATTCCCCCTTCTAGGAATATACCCGAAAAGAAAGGGAAATATACGTCCACACAAAGACTTGTGCACAAATACAGCACATTTGTTCATCATGTTCATCATGTTCCAGAGTGGAACCACTCACAAAGTCCATCAGCTAGTAAATGGATAAATGAAATGTGAAACAGGCACACAATGGAATATTACTCAGCAAAGCAACAAGAAGGAATGACATGCTACAACACGGATCAACCTCAAT